GCCGCCGCCGAGCACCATGGGAGACGCCGGGAGCGAGCGCAGCAAAGCGCCCAGCCTGCCGCCTCGCTGTCCCTGCGGCTTCTGGGGGTAAGTGTCCGGCTGGGTGGCGGGGTGAAGGTGGGGGGCGCGGGCGTCGGGGCTGCCGGGGCAGGCCTCTGGGCCCGGGGAGGCCGGAACCCTGGGGGCTGGGCCCTAGCCAGGCCTACGGGGAGGGAGCTGGGGCCGCGTCCCGGGGAGGGGCTCGGGGTGGAGAGCGGGGGGTGGGCTGAGAAGGCCCTGGCGGGGTGTGCTGCCACCCTCTGGGACTCGCCTGCCTGGGACTCGGGCCAACAGGGTCCGCCCAGGCCGCTGGGGAGGGGGTAGGGCAGGGCTGCGGAGAGGGCTGAGGGGGCGGCGTTGGCACCTCCGGGTGGAGCCGGGTGCCCCCTTTGGCAAGTGGAGGCCAGCCCTTTCTCCCCGCCCCCATCAGCCCCTTGGCCCGAGTTGATGCCCAGGCACCAGGAGGGTATTTCCTCTGACTTTTTCACCTCCCCTCCTCCCTGTCCCCGGAGACTTGCATCATCACTTCCTAAATTATATCCCAGTGCCCCATTTGCTTTTAGGAAGCTGTCTGCAAGTCACCCATTTTCAAAAATCGAGTCCAGAACCCAGACTGCGCTAAAGTTACAGGGGCTGCTGAGGGTCTCACCTTTATTTAAAACATGACTCAGAGGATCTGTAAAATTTCCTTGTCAAAATAATTCACATCAGTCTGACTTGGGAACATGGGAGCAAATTCGCTTGGCCCAAATTCCCTTCCTCGTTTTTTTTTTTTTTTCTTTTTTCTTTAAATGGTAAAAATAACCACATTGGCCAGCTTATATTATTACTTGGCCATCCTGTGTTAGCGTGAAAATATATGTGGTGGGATATCAACGTTCCCACCTATAGTTAGAGTTTAAATTCTCCTTGTAACACTTTGAGCTCCATGGATTACCAGCCCTCTTACTTAACAGGTGTTGTGGTATGACTGTGATATATTGTAAGGAACCGAAACCGGGGACTTTGAAGGCCAACTTTCCTGAGCGATCCTTTTATTTTTCCTTTCCAAAGCTAGTAAGAGGCAGTAAGTAAATGATTACTTCTAGTGAGCACATCTTGAGAAGATGTACTGAAATATTTTATCTTTGTTATTTCCCATATCTTATTAAAGGTTAATGTAGATTCTCTTCTGTGGTTTGAGAGTTAAAAAGATCAGAAGGCGCATCTTAATGTAGATTTCTGTGGAATTTGTTAAATCCTAAAGTTATGATGAAGACTTTGAGTCTCAGTTTCTCAGTCTTCTGACTTTTCCTCAGAAGTTTTCTGGTGGAAGGACATTAGTTAAAAATAAGGTACAGCATTACTAGAAGTTCTGAAGATGTGGAGATATTTTAGGTTTTGGAGTATTCTTTGTGACAACCTAATACCTACAAGAATCTTAGGAGGTAGGAAAACATCTATTTATAGAAGGGGGAAACTGAGGTTCAGCCAGGTGGGTAAGTCATCCTTGCATATAGTTAGTTTAGGGTAGAGCCAGTAAGCCCTTCAGAGGGCTTAGTACCATCACACCTATGACAGTCTGCTGTCCTGAAAAAGTCTGGTGTCAGCTTCAAGTTGTAAGTCATTTTAAGAAGAATGTGGCTCTAAAAAAGGTAGCTGCCAGTGGCAACTGATGCCCAGGATGGATCAGAGGTTTGTATCTTTGCAACATGTTTATGTTCCTGGGATGGTTATCTTGGGGGGAACTCTTTTGAAAGACTTATCAAGACTTAGGAACTAAGGAAATGGCGTAGTAGTCTTTCTACATTTAGCTCATAGAATTCTGAGTATGCTACGAGAGCTTGGTGGTAGCAGAAGGAATAGTTAACTGATGTTATAGTTGACCAAAACAGCCAAAGCTTCGTTTTTGATACTTTAAGGCTGGTCCTTTATATGAACTATAATTTTGCCTACAATGGGACTAGTTTTTATGTTGAAAAATGTTCCTTTAAATATGTAATGTTGTAACCTTCCAAAAGGTGTTTGTAGGCTTGTGTAGTTCACATTTTGTACAGATGTTTCATTACTGCCTACTTTCCATCGTATAACTGACTTTGAACATGTTTTCCTTATTGCACCAGCTATATCCAAATCGTTAAGTAAACTTAGAATATATTCAACAAATATTTGAGTGCATCTGATATATTGGTATACAAGGGGGCACTAGGAATAGGAGACGAGAAGTAAAGGGACAGTTACAATTAAGGGTTCTAGGGTTGGTGCAGGGGTTTAATGGAAGGGAGGGTTCCTATTCAAGATGAGGTAAAGGTAGCTTGGAAGAAGTGATATCAGAGAGAATGGAAAATGATAAAAGGAAAGGAGCCTTTCAGGCAGAGGAAATAGCACAGGTAAAAGGCTTCCGTGAGACAGTGTGAGAGTGAACTCCTAAGAGTGAGCAAAGCACATTTGAGCCACCGAAAGTTCATTGGAGTCAGTTGCTAGATTGTAAAAGGGCATCATCAGCTAGCGATGAGGTTGAGTTTGTGAGAGCAGTTTGATGGCTCTCAGGGCCCCACTGGTAATGGTGAGGACTTTGTACTTTTATAACTGAGGGCATTGGAAGCTTTTGAAGAACTTTGAGCAGATATTGACTTGATTTTATTAAAGATTATTGGGTGATTTTGAAAGTGGCCTGGGTGTGTGGGTATAGTGGTGTGTGTCTGTATGAATGTAGTATCATTATTTTTGTGGGGTGTTGCCCAGTTCAGAGCTACAGAAAGCTTTTTAGGAGTAATCCAGACCAGCAAAGATGTGAATGCCACTAGGGAGTATCTTTTTTTTTTTGCCTTGTCTCAAAAAACAAAGGTGTGTGTGTTCTTTAGAAGTTGCTGTCAGCGTTGCACTCTGGCAGCTCTAGGATTGTAAAGTCAGCTCATCTGGGCCCATATTGCCCTTTGCAGAGAAGTTTCAGCAAAGTATTCTGGCACCAGCAGACTACAGGCTGTTTCTTCAGGATTACTCTTCTCTACAGTGACTTAAAGCTGTAGGACTTGTTGCTAGGATTATCCAGTTAGGATAGCAATCATTGGGTTTGGCTATATAGAAGAGCTTTCTTGGGGGAACAGCATTAGAATGGAGAATGCCAAGGGGAGCATACAATGCAAATGTGTTAGTGCTTAGAACACATCAAATTTCTAGTTTCTCTCTTCTTGGTTTATATTATGTAATTATATGGAAGTTATTAAGTTATTGTGTTATTGAGAGATAATCACTGGGAAACCTTTCTACTTAGGAATTCTTGAAAATGTACCTACTTAAAGGTTTGGAATTGTTTGTGTATAGGACAGTGTTTTTAGGACTGATTATAATTTTGAGTTTGTTCCTGAGATATGGACTTAAAAATTTTAGTGAAATAGGAAGTTCTTGACTCCGTTATTCATTAATCATTCAGATACACGTTCTAGTTTATAATTGTCAGATCTGAAAGTTAATTGATATCCTTTCTTTAGTTGAAATAGATGTATATACAGAAGCACTTTTATGCCATATAGACTCAAGTGATATTAGTTAAAGCGATATTTGAAATTGATTAGATTTAAAATGTACTAAGGAAAAGATTCTACACAAATGTTTTTGAACCCACAACTATGGGATTGAGTCGTATGCTCTGTTAACCGACCCAGTCAGGCAATGACAGAGGTACAAACTTAGAATATCATACAGAAGGCAGGAAGAAGAAAATACGAATATGTCAACTATGTTATGGGATCATAGAAAAGATAATTAGGATGATGATGGACTTTTTTTATACTTCTGTATAAAATTCAGCTATTATTAATATTTTGTTTTCACAATTGGAGATTATTGCAATAAATTTTATAGAATCCTTGGGAAGTACTGTATCTTTAAACTTCTACTGAAGTTTAAAGTATAGTAGACATAAATGTTTAGTCTGTTATTAGGGAGTAATGGAATAGTGAAATGTGGACTTTATTAGGTAAACTGTTCATTGTTTTGATTTAAAGTCAGCTTTTTCTAATGAGTACCAAAGAAAATGGGTGTTTTCTCTAGGGAAGTAAATTTTATTAGTATTTCTTTTTTTGATGATCTGTTGAAGCATTTTACTTAGCAACTAGGTTTGCTGGTTATAGATATATTTTAGCTAAGATGGATTTAGGCAGAGTTAGAGTAGTCTTAGAAAATAAATTCCACTACTGGAATGATAACCTATAGAACGTTGTTTAAACATATAATGTGGCTTATTTTATTCCCTTTTGCTGTTGGCAATCACAACGACTGACTAGCTGAAATAGAATTTCCCCCTCTCTCTTTTTCTCCCCACTGAGTTCAGGCTTTGGGAATTGATGTAGAATTCTGTTTCTGTCACTTTGAGTTGTCCAGTCAGTGCTCTTGGCACCTTGGTGTGTGTGACCCTACACTGGTTTTGATTCTTCAGTCTCATTGCTACAGTTGGAGCATATTGCCACATACTTCAACTAACTTGGGCTTTCAAGTTGTTGTGAATACAACATGTATCTTTAGAACATCAGTAGAATGTTCATTCCAGTGATGTCACTAATTATCCCTTATTATAAAACCTCTTTAAACATTCCCTTAAAAACAGTTTGTACAGTTTTACTGTGCATCTTTGAGTGTTGTGTGCAACTGAAGATACCACATGTTCTAAATGAAGTATTCACTGTCAGTATGTTTACCTAGTTGTCCCATTTTCATGATTACATTTGGTATATCCAGAAAACATAAAATTTGACCCTTTGATGTGATGGAACACAGGGAAATAGATTTTAAAAATAGTTTTTTTTTTTACATTGGTTTGAGATAATTGCTTTTTTTGAGTTAGAAGATAGCATACAGAAAGAACATAAAATTTTCCATATTCTTCCCACTTAAGGGGATGAGAAATAATATAGTTTGAATTTTTTATTATGTCATAAGGAGGTTGAGTCTGCCAAGTGATGCAGATTTTGAAATCCTACAACAGTCATAGATCAAGATTGAGGTTAAACATTTTTCCTCTTTGAAGAAAGGATCTGGAGAAAGCCACATGTAGTAAATGGCCCAACACT